GCCAAGTCAAAGGTCTGTCTTTTAGAGTATTGTAAACTTACGTAGTACAAGAAGATTGGGAAATGGTATGAGAAAAATGGAGGGCAATAGTAAAGTAAGTAGGGAAAGTAAGATGAAACTTGGAGACTTGGCTTCCACATTTAACTTGTCTGCATCCTAGATGCAAGATCTTAGACAAATCAACTAACCTCTCCGAACATCACAGATAAAATGGGGAATAATAACATTATCTAGCTCAAGGGTATTGTACAAATCATACAACGTATGTAAAGTGAAAGCATAGTTCCTGCACAAAGTAAGCACTTCAGAAGTTAAATATAATAATCATCATCATAGTAAAATAATATACGTAACTGCAATCTTACTGAAATGTTACTACCTAGAGTTTAAGCTGTGGGATTACTTCCATTTGCACCAAGTGTGATAGAAATTTGGCTCTTTAGTTCCTAGCAGCCAATGTAAGAGTAAAACAATTAAGATTGTAAATATCAAAAAGATTTATTTACTCAAATACAAGAACCCTACAATAATGCTTCTTAATTAGAGCTTGCAGAGTTACAAAAGGGCTCTGTCTGTCTAAAAGCTCTCTAAGCATTATCTATAGTTCAAATAAATGAGTTGCACATGGTTGTACTTTTATTTTTAAAGACATATAAATAATGTAATAATAACACAAATTCACTTAATTGTATTGTTGGATTTATGTATTTTTTGCCAGTAAGCATTTTCCTAATAGATGGACTTAACTAAGAACATCAGAATTGTGAAGAGCATAGTGTATTAATTTGCTATCTTCTTTATCAAAAAGGAGAAGGAAACAGGTTAACTTTTGTTAAAGACATCTCTTGTTTTTCACTGTCCTTTCTCTCATCAGTAACATCAAGAACATCCTAAGTGACAGAAGCATTAGGTTTTGGAAGCAGGGTTTGCTGTAATTATAGTAGAAATGACATTCTGATTCCACTCCTAACTTCACAAGGATATCTGTGGAAGATTTGGGGCAAAACTGTTAAGCTGTCTGAAAGTGCTTTTGCATAAGAAATGGGTTTTACTGCTAAAACTGTCATATTGCTGAGTTTTCAATGCCCTAATGGTGAATGATACTGGGTTGCCAAAAATAACCAGATTGGTAGTTTTTTTGATTCATTTGGCCATCTTATTAAGTCAAATATTGGTATTTTCTACTAAGTCAGGTAGCATCTTGCCAAACCCCATTTTGTTACACTCATGCTGAATCTGCTTCTCATCTCTTGAGTAAGAAAATTATTGATTATTTTGTGAGGATTTAATTTTTTTTTTTTTTTAGAAAAAAAATGATAATGGATACTGTTAAGGACTATTATTTGGATACTTTAAAAACATCATCCTTAATGGGGAAATCTTTTAAAAGGCTTTCTAACTTCTTGTAATTACTTGAATTAAGGAAGTGCAATGCCATTCTACTGACTTAGAACAAGTTTTTTGACTTCCTGCAAAGAGGACCCTTACAGTATTTTTGGAGAAGTTAGTAAAACCGAATCTGACATCATCACGTAGCAGTTCATGCAGTTAGCAAGTGGTTTGTTCTTAGGGTAACAGAGGAGGAAATTGTTCCTTGTCTGATAAGACAACAGTCGAGAGTATGCATTTATTTATTTACTTTTACATTTTTGATTCGTTTTTACATCGAAAAACTTCTGCAGAGATAACCATTATTTTGCCTTTCAGAAGGACGCATGCCGTTTCTTAGGGATACGGCTGACTTCCAGATATGACCATGTATTTGTGGCTTAAACTGTTGGCATTTGGCTTTGCCTTTCTGGACACAGAAGTATTTGTGGCAGGTAAGTACAAGAATGTTTTTTTTTAAAATTATTTTTTCTCTTTTGGAGGAATGTTTGAAATAGACATAAAAATAATTTAAGTGTGTTGGTAACTGGAAGTGAGAAGTCTGCTGTAAACCGTCAAAGCTGTCTCAGAAAGACACAGCTCGTTGTGTGACAGAGTACATTGTTTCTGTTTAAAAAGATTCCAATGTTTGGGGACAAAAAAATGCAACTTTAAAAGGAACACATTGTCTATCTGTATCTTTATTTACAACTGTTCAAAGATTTTACAAAAGCAACGCTGTTACTTAACATTTTATAAATGTGTGTGACAAGAACACACATTTATAAAAGCCTGAGAATATTTTTATGATAAAATAAGTGCGTTTTTATTCTTTTAACAAAAATCGGTCTTTTAAAAAGTCATAAGACGGCTTTGGTTGTATGTAAGCCACTCTCTCTTTTCAGACCTGAATTTGCTTCCTCAAATTTTGAGTTTAATTGACATATTTTGTTGAATACTTGGGTATCTGAGAGCTCAAAAATATATCGAGGTATTTAGTAAAATATTAACTTTCTGCGTATTTTTATCATGGAATGCATTTTAAATCAAGTTTTTAGTTTCTTATTAATACATTTTTGCTTTAGAAATTCCTGGGGAGCCACCGCCCTTCCTGGGTGGTGGGTAAATATGACAGCCTTGATGAGACAGAAATATTTAAACTCTTATAAGTCATGCAAATGCTATATCCCATAGGAAAATGTAACTAGCTGGACCTCCAGTGCCCAATAAAGTTTGAAATCTTTGCACATTTACGGTCTATTCAATGGAGAGTTTCTGCGCGGTGTCAATTTGAATCATGAGTACATTTCAACAGATTATAGAATTTAAGTAATAATTAATTTTTCTCTTTATGATGTAGTGTCTAAAAGGACATTGAAAATAAAATTTGTGTAGAAATTCCAAAAGTATAAAAGGTATTTTAAAACATCTTGCTTATTAAACTTCACGTTGAAATCTTTTTCTGACTTTTATCATTCTCCTTTCCTCTGAAAGTCAGGGAGGTACCGACATCTTGAGCATGTTAAATTGTCAATTTATATATGGAGTAACCTAAGACAGTGAAAAGCAAAACAACATAAGATAATTTTGTTGTTGTTATGGCTGTTTTGTTTTTTATTGCAAAGAAAAATTTTTTAAAAATCTATATAGGCGCAGCATTTTGTCTTAGTACAGAAAATTCTTATCAAGTTACCATCCCTATAAAGTTTGTTATTGTAATAAAAATTAAATTATAAAGAATAATTTCAATAAGTGATATATGTATTTTATCACAAATCAGAACATATTTTCATTTAAAATTCCCATTCAGGAAATGTTGAAAAGCATTTTTAAATGAGCATAAAGAAATACTGAAACATTTAAATGAGCATGAAGAAATACTGAAGCAGAGGAAAGACCATAAAAATTCAACCCGATCTATTAAAGTTTTTTTTTTTTTAACCATAAAACACATCTTTGAATTTGTAATTGAAATAATAATGTAATGGAATCTAGAAACTTTTATATCAACTTAGCTGAATAATTTATACTATAACAAATAAATAGGTATACATAGATTTATTTTGAAAAATCAAGTTTATCTTCAGTTGCTAACATAAGTATTGAAAGCAAATATTTTTCTGAAAGACATTGGTAGAATCGCTGAGATATATGCTAATATGTAGGAAAACATATACAGATATAATCATTTGTATCTGCAAATACTGTTTATAATCCTTTTAAGTTCCAAGAAACATTTTGAGATTTGATGCATCATTTGGAAAGTTCTTAATGCTTTTAATTATATATATAATTTTATTAGCAACAAATGAGTTGGATACTATATTTCATTTTAATGTGTTAAAATTAGTTTAGTACCTATAGGAAATAATAAATTTTTGGACAACAAAATGTATATTGTATGCCCTAAAGGCATACAGAAATACAGCCGAATGTAGAGAGCCATCAGTGATAACTATGCACAATTCAAATATTTTATTTAAACTCTAAAATGCACGAGTGGGCAAGGCCAAAGTTAAGCTTTGCCAGGGCAACAAGCAGGCAGGCTTTAGTTTTACACAAGACTTCCTAATCCTCTTGCTCTGTGCCTCTTTGCCATGGCAACGGGAAACCAAACTTTGTTCAAAATTTCTAAATAATTTTGGGGGACACTGGAATTTTTAAGAATGCAGATAAGGGTGAGTGTTCTCTGGTGTTAATAAAATTGTAATGTCAGGGAAATCTACCACACCATAGTATGGCAGTTAAGAGTATATGAGTTATGTTATGTGAGGTATGTGATGCGTTTTGTTATGATTCATAACGGTTAAGACTCATTTCCTGGGCATAATTCTTCATTTTTCCATCTGCATTAAAAATATATATCTCATGTTATAAACATGGATGGTACCTTGTACATCACAGACATTCAATGAAAAGTAATTGAATTTGGTAAGCATTCCTATTAAGTTCTAAATACTCCAGAATTTAGAGAACGTGAGTAGAATTACTTGTTGATTTGAAAAAAACAATTTCCTACTAAAAACTTGGCCTGTGACCCTTATAGCTAGAATTTGAAATGCACTTTGTTACAGGAAAGACTACGTGGGGTTAGAGCCTATATTATCCTTTTCCCTTTTGCTCTGTGTAACTAAGTATGGGGGCAGAGTAGTTAGCTTGAATTTAGTTCTTTCCTTGTTCTGGGCTATTTGATATCCTCTCATCAGTGACTATTAACCAGCATAGAAATATATATGTTTCTACATTGTTCATATACATGCACATATATTTCTTTATATAGATGCACACACATAAACTAATTATATATTTGTGGGTTATATATACTAGTCTATCTACCTGCCTGCCTACCTACCTATCTACTGGTTCTCCATATTTGTCTACTTGGTGTTTCATTGACTTTAGACCTTGGCCTGTGTTCTTCTTTTTTTTTTTTTTTTTTGGCGGGGGGAGCGGGGGACGGAGTCTCGCTCTGCTGCCAGGCTGGAGTGCAGTGAGGGCGATCTCTGCTCACTGCAACCTCCGCCTCCCAGTTTCAAGCAAATCTCCTGCCTCAGCCTCTCAAGTAGCTGGGACTACAGGTGTGCACCATCATACCCAGCTAATTTTTGTATTTTTAGTAGAGACGGGGTTTCACCATGTTGGCCAGGATGGTCTCGATCTCTTGACCTCATGATCTGCCCGCCTTGGCCTCCCAAAGTGCTGGGATTGTAGGCATGAGCCACCACGCCCGGCCCCAGTGTTGTTCTCTTTTCTCCACGTGGTTACATACCTTTGCCTACTGTGTGTTGATCACTGATTCTCCATCTCCAGACTCATCCCTCATTAACATGGAACTTACTTCCTTTCCTAAACCAGACATTGACATGCTCCCCAAGTCCTGAAATTTTGCCTTGTAATAATTTCTAATAACTTCTTACTTTGACACCTCCATTGCCATCATCTTAATTCATGGTTTTATTATTTCCTACCTGTAACATTGTAATAGTTTTTTAATCAGTCTGAAGTCTCATTCTTTTTTATACGTACTCTCTTGACACCTTAAAAAATAAAATAAAAGGTGAAGGGGTACTCATGTGCTCTCATTGCCTTTGGTATAAATTCTAATCTTTTTGCCAGAGCAACTGATTTCACTAATGATCTGGGAGCTAGGCCTGGAGCTGGGAAGGGAGCTTTTTTTCTTTCTTTCTTTCTTTTTCTTCTATGATTAATTAAAATGAAACAAACAGGAGGTAGTTTTAACACCCAGTTCCTCTATACTTTCTCAAGGCATTTAAGGCCCTGGGCAAATCCTACCTCTTCTATGATCTTCTGTTTTGTCACTTTTGCCACAATATATCTCCACTGAAATTGTATACTTTTTATCACCTTTTCTTGGCATTTTCCAAGTCATTTTAATTTGCTGTTGTTGCGATGATGATTGGTGATGATGATGCTGGTGACGTGAATCAGTGGATTTACTGACACTGTAACCTTTGTGAAATCAGGTGTAGGACACACAAAAGGCATAAACACATAGTTCCTGTCTTGCTTTTTCACGAGGCACTGAATTAATCATGGATTTAAAAAAATAAAACTGCAGATTATAGTGATAAAGGACAGGAAAAATTTCAAAGAGGGAAGTTAAAAAGAGGGAGAATATGAGGTTAAAAAAAAATTAACCAGAGGTAAAGTGGGAGGATGAGGGTAGCAGGACTACTTTGTCCAGTTAAATCAACTGATTTGGGATCTAGATGGGATCTAGATTTATAGGCTTTGCCTTTTTGTTTTGTTTTGTTTTTTTCTCTGCTCCCTTCTTTACTCTTCTCATCTCATCTCTTGTCTGGAAAGATCCTCATGACTTCCTAAAAGTTCATAGTTTGAGAACATTCTTCCTAAATTTTCTTTGACCTTCTCTTTGGACATTCTAGGTAACTCAATTTGGGGGGTCAGTTTTATTCTTCAGATACACATTCCCGTAGGAGGAAAAGTAAGGAATGGGAGGGAAATGCAAATCTGGCAGAGTGATAACATGAACAGATCAGGTCCAGTCCGGGCAATTGCTGGTTTGAGCACTGATACTAGTGCTCAGGGATTGCTTGCAAGGACACATGGAATATGGTAGACCCCAGGTGTTGCATTATGTGCACACCAAAAGTTTGCAGAGAGCTGGGAATAATTTCTTTTCAGACAGTGTGGTGATGAATGTCAATCTGAATAGGTAAGAAGCAGAGATTTGTGCTGAGATTGAGTCATTCTCTTGGTAAATGCACAGTGTTCACAAAGACAAGGTTTCATCTTCAGACCATGTGTGTATATGTCAGCTTGGTGCAGAGCAAGACATTTTTCAACGCTGACCTTTGATTTTTTTCTAGACATCTTATAGGTTGATGTAGTTATTTACATGGGAAACAATCAGAATGGAAATTTAACATATCTTTAGTTTAAAATTAATTTCAGCCTATTCTAAATATCTTTGTAAGTGCTAGACACCCAGCCCCATAGCAGTGGCCTATTACTGAAGGATTAGTGTTATGACTTTTGCATACATGAAGACGGCACTCTTTAGGATATGATATAAACAAAAAATAAAACATGGCAAGATTTTAACAATGTAATGTGATGTGTATTTCTATATAATACCCAAATGTACAAGAAGAAAAATTGTAGTAATCACTGGATTTCCTGTACATGGCTCTAACCAATGCTTAAGATTAGAAAATATCTAATTATTGCCTACAATATTTAATCTCCATTTCTGTCTGTATATCAGTGTGCTACTTCAACATCAGTCTGTCAAAAGAGTCTAGGAATTACTACTACAAGCAGATAATTGTGTGTTCAGGAATCACAACAAAAGTAAGAACAAATCAAGAAACAAAAGCTTTCTTATTCTTTCATCCAGGACAACAATAAATACACATAAAGTCAATATTAGTGAAGTAGACAAGCCTCTTCTATGCCAATTAATAGTACTTTCAACTGATTCATTTCTTAAAAGACAATCAACAAATTATCAATTTTTATTAGAGTCTTTATTAGAGACACAAGCTTAAACAAACATATTCTATGGTACTTAACTCCATAGTATTTAAAGACTCAACATTCATTTCCTCTAAAAATGAGTCAAGTGTCTAAATGGAAAATGCCACCCACTGAAACTTCAATTTCTCCTATATAGGGCATTTATTAAAAAACTGTAATTACAATGCAATGATACTGAAGTATAAATGATCATCATTCATATATTTAAGAAAATACTTTCATCAAACTTGAGTAACTGCAAGAAAACCATTCACCCTCCAAAACAGGGATTTGCTAATGCTGGAGTAGAAGGCAAAGAGCTGAGGGTAACTGAGATAACACACTCGTATGTCTTAGTATATGGACAGCTGGTATAGCGAACTTGACAGAAATCACTGATAGACTAGATGACACTCTCTGCATTTTAAATTAAAATAAAATTTGTCCTACGTTCAAGAAAATAGCTTAGAAAAACGTATATAAATAAAAATGATGCCAAGAGACAATGTCAAAATGACTATATTATGTCAATACAGTGTGGCCACTGTATTTTAAACACATTTACTTGATGAAAAATATAATAATTTATTGATTAAAAGTATTAAGCATAATAGAAAATGAGACAGAAACCACTCCAAGCTGGGAAACATCATGGCATTTGTAGTGATAAATATTTTGAAAATCTAACTCTATGAATTACATGATTTTGAGGTAAATCAGTCTTCATCCTTGATACACAGTTTCCTCACCTATAAAGTGTTGTAAGCATTAAAAGTGATAGTATTTGTAAAAATACTTTGAAACTATGAGAGGATCTGAGAAATTGCAAATTTTTTATGTAAGTCCATGAAATCAGAGCACATAACTCTTTAGTATTAAACGTGATTCCAGTGCTATCTCTTCCTTTGAGACGCTGTGAAGAAATAAAGGGATAGCTTAAGGTTAGGAGGTAGAAGAATAAACCCTTACAGGCCTTTGAATTCTTTTAGCTTTCCGTTCTTTATTTCATGGATTTTTCAGGCTTATCCAGAGTCTACAGTCTGAATAGTAAATCCACGGCCTTGTGCTTTGCCAGGGATTTCTTATTGTAAAAATAGCCTGAAGTGTTACCTGCCCTCAATCTCAACTGTGTCAATACCTACCATTACCAGGAAATCTCTGTAAAAGGCAGAGCTCACCTTTGTCTATCCCTCCTTTAATGGCATCTATGGGGTAGAAAACATACTGATCCCATGATCTGATATCAAGGATGTCTTGGCTCAACTTTTATGAAAATAAATATTTAATTAGAATATATCAACATTTATGAGTTTTCCTTGAAGATAAATTTTGGAGGAAAAAAACTCCATTAGGCCAATTTAATTCCCTGAGTAATATATACATTCCTGAGTAATATATATATATTCCCTAGTTAACTCCTTACCAGTTTTTCCATTTAAATTATAGTTTTACTGAACTAATGTTTAGCAGCATCATTTTCATATAATTTTTACAATAACTATTAGATCCATTTTACCCATGTCAAATTCTGCTGATTATAGCTTATGCTTCTGGGAATTTTTCTTTGTGGTTATTATTTTTCTAAATGTAATTCTTCTTTTCAAACAATACAGATCTAAATTTTCCAAAACCATTTAAATTCTTCTTTTTAGCCAGAAGCATTTTCTGTGTTTAGTTTGGCTACCGCTAGTTTAGTTTTTTTTAAAATTGGTTTTGTGTTTCAATGCTACAAAAAATATAATTTATGTAATTTTTCATTTTTGTCAAACTTATATTAACCACTTTCAATTGTGTATTGTGTTGAAATTTCTATTAGTGACATTAATGTGGAGATTGACAACTATTTTAGCTAGATTCATTTAAAAATTTTAAGACACTTGATTATTATTTAGCTAGCCAATGGAAACTTCAGAAACACTTTTAAGACAGTCTAGAAATATGATGTTTTAATTCTCATTCATTTGTTTGGTATTCCTCTTATTAGCTTTCTCACTTAGTGCCAACTTCTTATTCATTATTGGAGCAAAAAGTAAACAGAAGAATCAATGTGATAAATTTAAAATCTTCTCAGTGTAAAATGGTGTACGGGGAACGTGTCAAATCATCATACTTTGGTCTGTGTGCATTTAGGAAAAATAAAAGCAATTAGCATTGCACATACAGATGTAATTGAATCTCTTCAGATTTATCTAGCTTTATCTGTAACCACTTTGTGACATATAACATATACCCTTTTTGTAACTTGCATTTTTCAAAAAATGTGACCTTGTTTTGTCGGAAGACAAAACTATTGGATATGCTGTTTTTCTTTCTCTCCACATCTTTTTTCAGTGGGGCAAATTATAAATTCTCTTCATAATTTACTCCAAAGATCAAGATTATGTCCCCTGGACAGCCCCACTCCCACCTGTATAGCCCTTGCTCCTCAGCCCCTTTCACACCTGCACAAGTGTTCTTCTGTTGTGATGATCCTTTGAATAATCCTCTTGGAGTTCTCTTTACTGGGCTCTCTTGCAGCAACTGGTGAGGTCATGTAGGCTGTCACTGGGTCTCTGCTTATGTGCCAGTGCCTACAGGTCCACGGTAATTGTTTGCTGAATAAATGGATGGTCTGTCAGCTTCACCCAACTCTGTATGTAGAAGACACTTAATGATTCTTAAAAACAGTTTTAATTCCTTTCTTTTATTGTTGTTTATAGGAGTTATTTACGGTAAAATTTTCTACATAATAGAAAATTTGGAAAATGTCAAGAAATAGAAGGAAAAAGAAATTCTTTAGAGTTCCTGCTAACATTTTGTTTTTCTTCCTCTAAATTTCATATTCCATTTTTTCTAAGTAAACCATGATTATTCTAGACAATTTGAAAAATATAGAAATGAATAAATAGAGAAATAAGAATTTCAGATTTCCAGTTCTCAAGATGAAACTTTCTGAGTATTTCATTTAACTAGGACAACTAGATGTATTCAGTTATTTATTAACTTATTATTTCATTTGATAAACAACTATTTTGTGAGTATTTCCATGTACTGTGGGCTGAGGATAACATATTCTATGAAGCTGGTATTCTCTTAGTATCAGTGGCCTCTTGGAGATGATCTTAAATCTTTCAAAATCTTCATCAGCACCCCAAAGCTTCCTCTTCAACATAGTAATATACCTTGCTACAGATTATTGGCATTACCAATGTTTTATAAATTACAAATTTAAAAGTCATGATTTTAAGAGCTACATAAAATATATTAAAAATTACATTCTTACAAGACTACCTCCAGGTCCCTGTTAAAACCAGATATTCCCTGCAGACTTTTAAGTTATAGAAGTTTCAGTGTTGTCACTGAGTTGTGCAGATTATTATGAGATATTCAGTAAATAAAGTTGGTAGATGTTTAGAGGTACTAGGCAATAGTCCTATTTTGTTTGTTTTGTTATTTATTCTGATAATAAAATGCTTGTTTGGAGAGAAAAGTTAAAACAGAGAAATACACAGCACACAAACAAACTCTTAGCTTTTTTTTTTTTTTTTTTTTTTTTTTTTGGTAATCTTTCAGTAATTTTCCAAGATCACCAGCTAATAGCAAATGAGAGTTGTAGGGGTGGGGTGGGGTCTTTATCTGGGTCTATCTGATTCTAGGTCTATTCTTTTTCCAGTGAGTTAGCCAATCTTCTTAGTGCTCAGCTTAATAACCAGAAATTTAAGATGTGACTGCATGATGATGGGCAAACACAGCAGGACTGACAGGTAGCTGGTGGTTTCTCGGAGTTTGTTCATATAACATATGCATGTAAGTTCAACCACCTGATTTAGCTACTTACATGAACCATTGTGCACCTAGTTGCTTCTATATCTTTAGCAAGATCAAATTCACATATGATTGTATGACTTTTATAAAAAGCAAAAAAGACGTCTTTGATTAATTTGGCTTCACAATGAATGCTGATGCCACACAAATAATGCAAAAAGTGATGTGTTACAATCATCCTGAAAAGGAGGCTAACAAAGGGCAGGACTGAGTCTGTCTTGAGGTGAGTGATTCGATGGAAAGAATGGATTTTCCCCCACCCAACTCATTTTTGATATTACATAAAGTGAAAACCATTAAATAATTCACCTAAGTATCTACTTTTTTTTGTTTTGTTATTGAAGTGCAAGGGAAGTAACTTGACCTTTGTTAAACACTTTGATCATGGAAAACACATAAGGTTCTCATCTTATTCCAGGAAGTGTAGACACTAGATAATCTTTTCATAGTCATCCAAGAAGCATATTAAATGAACCAGGTAAACCCATCCTACACTTTTGTATTCCAGAGACAAGTTGGCTAAACTTTGGAGAGAGTAAAAAAAAAAAAAAAAAGTTTTGCTTGGTTAATATGATAAATGTGGACTTCCAATCAGATAATTTAGGCCAAATATTCTAGTTCGACTTCTTAGACTTATATTTCCAGATAGTCTGGTTTATAAAATGTTAACTTATGCTTACTAAACTCTATGCATTTCTACTTTTCAATGACCCGTTTTTATTTTCTGAATTTACTTATTGATGCTTTAAGTATGATAAAAATATATGATGGCTAAGAAAACATAAATGAAGAATAAGACATCAGCTGAGACTTTTGACTGAAAGGAGGTGGTGATATGAAGGACACAGATAAGTCAAAGAAAAAGGAAAAGGTCAGCGAGCTGATAAAAGTAACTTGAAGAAATGTTAGTGCAGATATTGGATTCAGACGGCCTCTACTTTTAAGGTACTTAAAGAAACCAGTCTTTGAAATCTTGCCTTAATTCCATTCTGAGATTTCCAATCATCAAAAGTCAGTGAAAATTACTTCCAAAGCCTCAGTTTCCTCATCTGGAGAATGGAAATGATAGCAAGAGATAATCGCATGAGATGATCCCCTGCCAAGCTAAAAAACTGTTCAACTGTTCTAAGTGCTGATACAGTGGTAAATAAAGCAGAAAGTTTGTCTACTTTTATAAAACTTACTTCCTAGTGTGAGAGATAACAAGAAAACAAACAGCGAATTGAGATAACTTCAGTTATAGATAAATACTGTGAAGATAATTAAGTAGTATCATATGGCAGAGACAGGCCAGGGCCAGATTCAGGGGTAAATGCACCTTGACAGAGTGATCAAGGAAGACCTTTATGAAGAAGAGTCATTGAGCTAAGTGTTGGCTGTCAAAAATATGGGGATCCAGGTGAGGGGGGCTGGCAGAAGAAAAGGTTCTGTGGCGAAAAACAAAACAAAACAAAACAAATTGTTGGGTTCAAGGCACAGAAAGGTCAGGCACCTGCAGTATGATGAGTAAGAACCAAGCAGGTTGTGGTGAAGCTAGAAAGATAAGCAGAAGGCAGGTCCCCTAGGGCCTCAATGGAAATGGAAAGAACTCGAATTTTACCTGAAGTGTAATGGGAAGAAGCCATTTTAAATTCTTAAGTACAGAATAACCTAATCTTCTTTCTGTGTTGAAGAGATCACTTTGACTGCCATGAAGAGACTAGATTGGAAGTAAGGCAGAGCCTGGAACCAGTTATGAGGAGGCTGAATGAGGATGGAGAAAGGGGATGGTGATTTGGACTGAGCCTTGGCAGCGCAGGAGGAAAGAAAGGAAAGTTTGACATGGAATTAAGAGAAGTGGCTGCATGGAAAGTACAGACATTTTAGAGAATGACTTTTTTTGTTGTTGTTTTTGTTTTTGTTTTTCCGTGAGCACTGGAATGGGAAAGAGTCACATTAGCGGGTCAGCAATCCAGAGTTCTGTTTGGCCTGTTATTGATGTCTGATTTTCATTAGCCAGTAGAGATATCAATAAATCCATTGGCGATAAGAGGCTGAGGCTCATTCAGTAGGTCTTAACTGGCAATATAAATATAGGAGTCATTGCATTCAGATGTAACTTAAAGCTAAAGGGCTGCATGTGACCGTGTAAATAAACATGTAGAGAAGAGCAGATGGCTGGTTTCTGAGCCTTGGGAAACTTCCTATTTGGAAGGGACACAAGGAGGATCTAGAAAAAGAGAGAGAAGAGGCAGCCAGTGAAAAAAAGTAGAACTATACTTTGCTTTGAATGTTGAAAAAGGGATTGGCATATAGTGAGAATTCAGTAAAATCCACATAAAAATCTGAACTTCTATCTCCTCTTGAAACGTTGATAGTGAACATGCTATTGGCAAATATCTCTATTACACAAGCAATTATTAAGGAATTTATAATAATATTTGGAAGAATCAAATGTCTTTACCCGATGTATTTGTTGCTAGCTTAACTATTAGACAAAGAAAGAGATACAACTTAACATATTTTGTTTTAATAAAAACTGCAGAATATATTGAGAGACTAATCAATTAGAAATTTAACTGAAAATTTCATGCAAAGGTAATATTCTGTTGGATAATTTCATGACTTATGTTTGGTTTGATACATATTTTAAAATACTGTTTAAGCCAATACTTGAATAGATTGGGATGGTGTGTGTGTGTGTGTGTGTGTGTGTGTGTGTGTGTGAACTGGTTACATAACTGGTTTAGTCTTAAATTGAACTTAAACCTTCCATTTCTTTAAGAAATTTAAAAAATAGCTATCAATTTGGCAGATATTAGGTAGAATCTAATATCCATGAAAATTAAACCACATATAAATAGAGATAAATCCTTTTGTGGGTGTATGTATATCTGTGTGTGTGTAATTTTGATTTCAGGCTTGGCAGGTTTCCTTAAAACATTTTTTTAGAGCTACTTAATTTTGTACTTACTGGTAGTTAGCTAATAAGAGGAAGTTAGCTAACAAAAAATAGTACTTACTCTGTGCCAGGCACTTCTTTTTTTTATTATTATTATACTTTAAGTTCTGGGGTCCATGTGCAGAACCTGCAGGTTTGTTACGTAGTTACACATGTGCCATGGCGGTTTGCTTCATGCATCAGCCCGTCATCTACATGAGATACTCTTCCTAATGCTATCCCTTCCCAATTCCCCCCACCGCCTGCTACTCCTCCCCTAGCCCCCCAACCCCCGGGAAACTCCTGGCATGTGATGTTTCCCTCCCTGTGTCCATGTGTTCTCATTGTTCAACTCTCACTTATGAGTGAGAACAAGCAGGTGTTCGGTTTTCTGTTCTTGTATTAGTTTGCTGAGAATGATGGTTTCCAGCCTCATCCATGTCCAGACACTTCTGTTAACATTTTATCAATGTTATCTCATTTAACAAGCACGTATCATTATATAGTCTGGCTTATACTTGTCTTTAATATAAGCAAATTTGTTAATTTGTGTTTCCCAATATTTATTATAAAATTGACTGGTTGTCATATCCTAAAAGGGAATATTTAAATTTAATTTTCCTTGTTCTAATTTCAAATACAGTACTAAGATTGAAAAAGAAGGTGTCAGGCAAGGGAAGTAATGCTGAGTGCCTCTCATATGCCTGGTACTCCATATGATGCTTCAACGCACACCATGCTATTCAGCCTTAAATTTATTTCTACATTCTGTTTCTAGTTCTACAGATTATTAAACAAATGTACAATCTTTGGTCACTAGCCTTACTAAGGAAAACAGAAATATGGTTAAAACAAAAGAATAAGTAATCTAAATATTATCTATCGATATTTGTTTTATATTGTGATAGTTTGCTTAAGTTGAAAAAATGGGCACCTGAGGTGTTTTGGCAGTTTACTGTGATCTCAATAGTGAGAATGTATGGAAAAAGCTCAGTACAGGAGAGAGTTGTGTAGCTATGTCTTCCTGTGGCTGCTTAATTTTCACGTAGATATAAAGCTGCAGTTTAAGCACACCTGCCTAATCCTAGTTTAAAAGACTGGGAGGGAATTAGAAGGGGAGGGAGGGAGAGAAAGGGAAGGGGGAATAGCTTGAGAGCAATCTTGCCCATTTAATACAAACAGTATGTGTGTGAAAAACAGATAAGCGTGCATGTAGGCACTATCTTTGTGAAATCAAAAACATAATTTACTCCTAATGCTGAAAAATCTAGTTGTGTGTAAGCAGCAGGGAGATATTAAAATAAATTTCTAATAAAAGGTAGTAAAAGTCTAGCAAACCTAAGTAATCCATTTTCAGATGTTAGTCCAAATTATGTAAACAATATTACCCTTTTTTTTTTTTTGGTCCTTTGTTTCAAAGATTACATGTGAATGAAAGAAATAGCATTCCATCTAGGTAAAAGAGTAATTAGCATCATTGAAATGTCAATAGCTGTGATTCCTCCTTGCTGAATGGCAACTTTAGAACAGAGGGAACCCAGGAGTCCATCTAGAGGTTCAAGAAATAAGAGGTTCTCACCCAGAGGAAGATGAAAAATAATTTCAGGGTAAGCCACGAAGAAAATCACCAAAGCCTTTGAAATAAAATATTTTTCCTTTTCTATGAATAAAATGTAGTGTTATGTCAAGGGCAGCTAGATGGTGTGGCTGAAAGAACTATTGGGAATGGCTATTGGGAGATCAAAGGCAAGTGGAACCTCAAAGTTCTGGAAGTGGAACAAGTCAGATACAATATAAGAAGAACTTCAAAGACAGGAAAATAAGAATAATAAAAATACCTTTAGTTGTCAAATATAAAATTTGTGCCAATTTTGTCACATTCTATTTTTCAGAAACACTGTAAAGTTAAAGGTATTTTCTATTAATACCAATTTAACTATACGTAATCTTCCCATCTTAATTAGTCAATTTTCAAGAAAGTGTGTGTTAGGCTCAAAGTATCCAAAAGGACTTTTTTGTTAGTCTTAATAGAATGCATTCTCTTAAATTAAATTTTAATTTTAATTTCTAAGTATAAGGTGGTTATAGAAATTGAATGTAAAATCACTTCATTAAGTGTAATAAAATGAAATAATATGAGGAGTTGTTATATTATTAAAATATTTAGAAAACTATAAAGGAGTATGGAAATTCTGTTACCGCTACTATGATTAGTGTCTCATTTGGTTTTTCACTTTAAGAATTGAAATAAAAGTTGAAGTCTTGATATTAAAATTAAGAAATGATTCACAAATTACTTTATAAATTGAAATATTGAAATATAGAATGTTCAACCACTGTTAATGTGAATTCCTATTTTGTAGTTAATTTATTCTATAAACATCTGTATTTGCTAAAGAGCAACAGACCAGGGAAAAGTAAATCAGTGCCACCCATAAAGCCATGATTTTGTGGAATCATTGTTCCAGTTTATGTCTTAGTGTATGAAAGAAAATACTTCCAATGGATCTATCTTTTTGCTAAAGAGTACCCTTTACATTTCAAAACATATAAACATTTACATAAAGGTGTTTGTGAAAAAAGAAATTATGTGCCTTTTATTTTAATTCATCCATTATTCCATTCCACATGTAAAGTAGAAAATATTACTTTAAGACAAAGTAAAGCACTATTTATTTTAAATTGTATTTCGTTCATGAGTTTTATCAGAAGTAACACTTCTTAATATTATCAGAAGTAACATTTCTTAATGTTATTCAGTGTCATAACTTGCCTTTTCTCTAGGCCTCCATTTTATGAATTGAACATCTGGATTTGATGGGCAAGAAAACATTTCCTTCCGCTAGCTTTTCCAATAACTCCCTCTTACAGATATGCATGCTTCATGTTGGTTAATAAAATTGACATAATTTTAATATCTGGTATTTTAACACACAGTGAATTATGGAATTTTCAGTGGCTTTATTTAATTAAATGCATTTTAAATTCCTTACAAAAACAGTGTTAGGAGCAACTCTAAAAAGTATTAGAGCCACAGATGTTTTCCTTTATAGTGTTAATGGATTTAAGGCCCATCAAAATGCTGTTAAAATGTCTAGAGGTTAACAATAATAATGGCACATGGGTCAGATTAAAATTCTTTTTGAGTAAAATAAATAAACAAATGATAGCTTATGTTCCTCTGATTAAATAATTTAGCTAGTGGATTGAAACAGCAATGTGATAGCTAAGATTTCATTCTCTCACTTTATAATAAAACAACATTTAAAACTATGGATTACATGGTACACCAAACATTTACATGCACAGATTACAAGTACTAGTTTTGTTTTTAGTGAAGGGAAGACATTTTCTCTTTTTATCTGTTGTCTTATTTTACAATTGAAGTAATTAATCTGCTAAGCTCTTTAACCAATAAAATATAGTGTGTAACAAGCAAATTTGGCCTCTCCCTCCCCTTAAATGCAGTTCCACTGCTCCTTGCTCCATTTTAAGCCTGCTATCCTTCATAAGAGAATAATATGCTTTGTAATTTAAGAAATCATGCAGAGGAGAGTTTCTCAAAATTCACCTTAATATGTAATAATAATAATAAATATGTATAACAATAGTATCTTGGAGAGTAAATTTTTAAAATATTTTATAGAAAAGATGAGTATTAAAATGAAAAGTTTAAACATCAATTTTTTTCTATGTTAAAATTACTAAAATTGAACTACAGACTCATGAATACTTAGGGCAACTTTTATCTCAGGAAATATATCAATAGTCTGAAAGTGTCAAATCAATTCAATTAAATCAGTAACAACACTTCCCTGTTTATGTGGCTGTTTTTTCTTCTATATTTATAGTCTTAGATTGCACGGATACAATCAAAATAATTTAATTTGTATACGGGATATAAAAGGACCAGAGAATGTGTCTTCCCATTAAATAATAAAAAATAAGAATACCTTTTATTTTATGATGTTCTTTACTGTTTACTGAGAGCCAAGTATTGAGCTGTTTTTTTTTTAATTAGCTGACGTTTCCTGCTTTTATTTGAGTTACAATTTCTGTAGAAAATGTTTACAAAAGTGAAAACATTTTTAAAAAGAGAAAAGGAATTTGGAAATTTGTAGACTACTATAATGTAAAGCAGCATTAGTTATACAACAATTAATTTAGAGAAGCAAAAGACCTTAGAAATAATCTATTTCAACCCATCTATTTACGAATGTGAAAACTGAAAGTCTTAGATATTTAGTGACTTGTCCTTTGTTATACCAACAATGAGAGAACTTGGTCTAGAATTCCTCCAGTATATTATGAGGTATTTGTCCTTTGACGTGATGCAATGGAATGAATATTGGATTAGGCATTTCGGGACAAATTTTGAATCCTAACTCTATTACTAATTCCTTTTCACTAGACTGAGATTCTGATATGTGGTATTCAATAAGTTATTTGATTTCTTTAAGCCTTGCTTTTTTTTCAGTGAGATTTAGAGCTTAAACTAGTTTCTGAATCTTAGCCCTGTGGACAATATGGCTGGAGAACTGAGATGTCCTGTGCATAGTAGGATGTTTAGCAGCACTCCTGCCTCTGCACACTGGACACAGCAGCACATATCCCAACCCTACTCTGACAGTGACAACCAAAAATGTCTTCAGGCATTGCCAAATGTCAACTGAGGGCAAAATTGCCTACCTTTGCCACCTTAACTGAAAACTATGAGCTTAGTTGAAATAACTTCTTTATGGCTCCCAGCAGTAGCAATGTGCTATTCTAGACCACTTGGTTAAACTACTGGATGCTTCACCAAAAAGCACCCACTAAGCATTATTCACCTTGAAGTTTGTTGGGTATGCTATACAGTGACCAAAGGAGACATTATATAATTTTTAAAAACTTAAAAGATTCAGAGGTGAGGATTTTATAGTAGTAACGAAGTATTAACCATTATAAAAGTTTAAGAAGGTTTAACAAAATGATATAAAAATATATTCACTATAAGTAGGATGTAATTTTTGTCCTGTAAGACTTATCTATATATTTATGAATTGAATCTGCCAGAGGTTACAACAGTTTGGTCATTATTTCAAAGATTAATAGAGACTCATTTCCAATCATAGGTGTTCACTATACTATTCTAAGACATTTGCAACTGTGTAAGGCAGTCATTTCCAGTAAGAATGGCTAGAACAAACATTAAGGCTTTCATAGTGAGAAGGGTCACGGATATAGTTTCATCCCTTGCATAAAGAAGAAAAAGCCATCTATTAGCCTCAGTTTTTAACCTAAAAGGTATTGTTGCTTCCCTTTCTTTCTCTCTCCCACTCAATTTTTTTGCCCCGTGGAAGACAAGGGCCCAATACAGGGATAGCACACTGTGCATGAGCTATGAAGGTACAAATGGAAGCTTGCCTGGCAATCAATGCCAGACCAGACAGCTAGCCTGATGAATTCTGCTACACATCACAGGGCTCCTTTTTTTTTTTTTTTTTTTTTTGGTCATATATTACTGCAAGTTCCCTGAGGAAGTTTACTGATCTGTGGTTTTACGAGAAATGCACGTCATGGAGGTGGCATGGGGGAGCGGGCGAACAAGGAAAGTTTAGTTTCTATAAAATGGGAGTTGAGAGCTCAGGCAGGTTGGTTATGTTCTGCCAGATGGAGATAAAATTGTGGCAGCCACATCCTGTGACTAGAAATTGTTTAAGTAGGCAGATCTGTTGGAGGACTAAAGAACATTAGGTAAGGAGATTAAATTAGAGCAGGAAAAAATCAGTTTTGTTTAAAACAAAACATCTACTTGGGTTACTAGAACATTCTAACTCTACCATAGGATGGAATCAAGAGGGTTTTTTGTTTATATATATATATATATATATATATATATATAATGTATGTATTCCTATTTAGATTAAATATTATGGTTTACCTTTTCTAGTAAAGCAAAGTTTGTTCTGAAATCTAAAATATCACTTACTAGAGCAGGAAAAATTAGCTGTGCATTTATGCTATTCCCAGTATAGATAATTAATCTTTAAGAAAGTAGATTTTTCTGTTTACCTGTTGATTGAAGTGTTAATGGAGACAAGAGCTTTTTGTGTTACTGAATATTATTGTCAGATTACTGGTGCTTTCCATTTTGTTTCTTTAAAGAAATCCAACTTTTGTAAGCCACACTATTTTCTGTTTCTATTGGATTCATACAATGAAGATTTTATGTCTCTCTAAGCTAAGATAAAGGATGTCAAGAATAAACCATTTTCTCATTTTAAATAAAAATACATTCATTATACATACTTATCTGAAATCTCAAACATATCTGAATTAAGTATACTCAGTTTTGTGAGTGATAAATCAATTATTATTTAAAACAAAAAGAAAAAACAATGTTTTCATTTTACCTCTCTTGCTGCTTCTGGGCTCTGACTGAGTCCGGAAGCAAAAGTTGCAAAACATCATGAGAAAACTTTTGCTCTTTTTTTTTTTCCCTTCAATCTCCTCCCAAATGGAAATACCAGAAATATGAAAGCCTGTTCTTGCGAAATAGTCATCTCAGGATTGTATTTCTACTGTAGGTCTTCGATGATGCTTTACAACTGGCCTCTTTCCATTCACAGTTGCTGTTTATCTTTAAATGTCCCTACTTGTCTCCTGAATAAACACAAACACATTTTTTAAGGTATCTTGTTGACATTGACTTCCTTCATAGCCCATGAAAAAAATCCATTGGGAGCATCTCTTCAATAGACAAAAATAGTATAATTATGATTCAATATTCAATGAATATGTGTTAAACTAAACTGTGCTCAAGCTCTGTGCAAGAGTACAGGTTTTTCACCTTTCCAGGGAAGAGGTGTGGAGTACATATATATTTCAGCCATCCTGCATGCCCGCAGGGACACCCTTTGGGTCCGTCTCATTGGATTACCCTTCCATATTTGCTTTTTAGTTTCTTTCTGCTTTAAGCACCTTTCAGAGAGAGAGAGAGAGAGAGAGAGAGAGAGAGAGAGAGAGAGATGTTTTCCTTTGCCTTTGTATATGCCATGCCTAATGTTACAGAGTAGCCTTTAAATACATATTTGTCGAATTAATAATAACACATATGAATGAATGAGGCTCCATAATTCTGTGGATAATCTGGTATCATGGGAATATTTTAGCATGTTTTATATAGATAGACTGATACTATGACTGGCAATCTGATAGTAAAAATGCAAAATATTGAGCTTAAGTATTATTTTATTATGTTGCCTTCTTATATAAAGGCGGAATAAAATAAGGCAGTGTGGACTGTAATTGTGCTCATGAAAGAGACACAATGTAGAAATACTTTACTTCCTTGAGACAGAATGATATGGATAACCTAGAATGTTTGCCATGACTTATTAATCTCTACTATATAATAAAAATATTTCTTGTGAAGTGGTAACTTCAGTGAAATCTTTTGTCTGCCCTTTTACAGACTTAAGTAACAAGTTTTCTATGCTTGTTCTGTCCTTTTCTCTCCTCACCCCTAAAAAGTGGTTAGGGTTTTGGCATTTGTTACTCAGAATACTAAATGTAACACATATGTGGCAAGACTTGATGAAATTGCACCTCTATTCTTATTATGTTCTTTTCTGGAAAACTATGACAATTCGTGACCCCTTAGAAAGAGTAGCACAGTTTTCTGGTTGCTCCTCATTATAATTGGAAAAGAAAAAAAACCCAGCTATCTCTTCCTTTCAGAGTAAAATTCTTTAGAAAAAGAGTATTTTCATCAAATCATTTGAGAATGTTAAGTTGAATAACGTTACAGTACTACCCTACAAACATGTGGAGCAAGTGTCTGCATTTCTGTGGCATTCTGCCTTTGCAGTGCTAAGGAAAATAACTTTCTTTCCAGAAAAGATTTTTCAAAATAGTATTTAAAAAATATCTTAATGATGAATTTGAAGTTGAGAACCAACTTATTTCAAGGAAAATAAAAATTTCGGAAGATATGAGAGTATACTTTTTTAAGGTTAGAACTCAGAGGCCATTATGAAAATTAATGGGCCAGTGGAGACACCTGGTCCCTAAAAAGGAGGCATTAGCTTCTTCATGTTTTGATTTCTGCCTTGCTCTCTTGTCTGTCACCATTAGACACATACTATTTTATAGTAATTATTTGTAAATTTTACGGAAAAGGCAGCTGTGTTTTCTACAAATATTTCACAAATGTTAGTGTTGCTCTATGCCAGGGAACAGAAGACAAATTGGTAGAAAAGCCACATTTGGCCCCTCCCCAGGTGGGACTTCTTGTGTAGGGCCCATTCAGTGGAGGCGCTCCACTGCAGAGGGACGGAGGGGGCCAGTGCTCATTCTGAGTACACAATAGTTCGGACTGTCTGAGGAAATCGACAGTGTGTGTTTAATGACCAAACCAGCATGGCTTTGAGGAATATTTTTCTTAATATTTCTGTAGGAATAGTTTTCTCTTTTTAGTTTTCAAATAAAGATATTTTAATTTTTCTTGAAAATACATATTATTATACAGAAATCATTGTCCAAATATATAATCATTTTTTAAGATAGTGTCCTAGACCTGAAATTTCTGTTTTAAAAAATGAAAACATTTTCAGTCTCTTCATAGATATTGACAAGTGGCTTTCAGAAAAATTGTTTCGTCTATTCCCCTCCTAACATTGCATGAATTTCCTTTCACATGCTTTTGTCAGAGTTTAATTTTATCATTTTAAATGTGTTACTTTTATTATAAAAGCTGGCATTTCTTAAATTTACCATTTTGTGATATTTAATTTTTGCTGTGTTGGGTTTTTTTCATATGCTTATTATTTGCATTTCCTTTTGTGAATTGTGTTCCTATGGTTTGCACATCAATCTTTTTTTGCAGCTGTGTTTAAATTTTGATATAAGGTTACATGAAAGAGGAATATACATGTATAACTTACCTACATATACACACACACATAGTGTGTGTGTGTGTGTGTGTGTGTGTGTGTGTATTCTGTGTTGAAATAAATGATAAAGCAGGACAATGGGTAGAGGTTATGATGTCATCTGTGACACGGTCTAGAGCAGAAACCATGTGTGCATCCATCAACTTAGCTTTTCAAAAGAATCTTAACTATTAGTTTCTGGAATATTCAGAGGAGAACTGGAAGGCCAACATGGACCCCAGTTTCCATCCTCCCAAGAAGACGTCCCATTATGAAACCTAAGTAACTTTGACAGCAAGCCTTTGAGCCTTATCATCTTCGTTCGAGAATCTACCCCCCAGCACAGAGATTCAAAATGCACTATATTCTTGCACTGGTGTTCTTCACGTTTTGCTTCACCCCAAAACTGCCACTCCTAACCACAAGCCTACCTGCTAACTTTCACACCAGGCTTTTGAGAACAGTATTTTCAATAAGCTCTCTTTTTCAATTCTTTTCATAATGGAGCTGAAGCATCTTTGAGTTGAGAGAATCTTAGAAGTGACTAGGGGCAATTATATATAGATTCCTTTTACCACACACACGCACCGATTATTTTCTAAAGACTATGTTAAAAAAAAGAAAAGCCTAATTTAGTGTTGGACTGCTCAAATATTTTGAAATTTGTGATTTCAAAATCCTAACATTATTATTGAAACCGATGTTTCTCATGCCTTTTAGTCTCTGGACTCCTTTTTAAACATTCCGAAACATAAACTATATTTTTAGCTCTAATTGTGAAATATATAGAGCTTTTCTCTATGTGGGATACACATATTTATTATAAAATAAATTAGAATTTAAAAATATTTATTCATTTAATAATAATAAACATATTAATATAAATAGCACTTATTGTATAAAAACAATGAGATATTACAAAACAAAGATTTAATAGGAATAGTGGCACTTTTTGCATTTTTACAAATCTTTTAAATGTCTGAATGACAGCTGGATTCTCATATATGTTTTTATATTCTCTGTTATAATATATACCATATGGTTTCTGGAAACATTAATTTTCTACTAATAAGAGAATGAGAGAGAAAAAGAAAAATAACTTCTTAGTACTATTAGGTAAATAATAATATTTATAATGCTTAGTCAGTACTTATTTTGACCTTGAAGAATCTTTAAAATGTTCATGGGGACTATCTTGAAATTCCAGAAAACACTGAGAACCACTGATATGCCAACAGATAAAATTCTTACCCTTACAGCAGCATAGAATAAGACTATACCTTCTTATAATAATATTTCAAGTATTTGAATGTATTTATCATATTTTTATCTATACTATTTCTTCCTAGAATAAAATAGCCTTCTTTAAGTTTTCCATATCTGGAATGTTATCTTGTCCCCTGCCACTTTCTACCTCCTGGTTAGCATCCTCTGAATACTCTTGAATTTAAATTTCATTAATAATGTGTGATATTCTGCACTGACACAACATTTCAGAGACCTGGTACCTTGAATCAACAAACATGTGTCTTCCGAAAGACTGTGATTAAGAAGCCTCCATGTCCAACTTGTCAGCCAATTTTTATATTGTACAAACCAGCAATCTCAGAGTCAACCTAACCAGATTTAGGCAATGCACCTCCATGATGTATTGGCTATTGTATTATAGTGATATCAATAAAAATAATCATTAAGATAAATGGATAATGTTCAGCACTTCATGTGTGCTAGATGCTATATTTAATGCATGCATTTATTTGCTCATCCAATTCCTACAATGATTTCATGATGCATATGTATTACTTATTCCTATTTAATAGATAAAGAATCTGAGACATGGAAAATGTTGGCAATTTATTTGAAATTACCAAGCTAATAAGAGGCAGAGCCAAGGTTTGATTCTGAACAACTTGATTCTAGGGTCATTTTGGCTAGGAATTTTCTGAGAGTTGAGAGTTTTGTGTGTGTGTGCATGTGTGTGTGTGTGTGTGTGTGTGCATGCACGCTTGTGTGTGTGTGTATAAATATGATAACATATTAATGTATACATAAATGTCAATATATATTTTAAACTGAATGTCTTAATAGAGTGGCTTATATGATAGAAATAAGAGAAATCAAAGAGGATGGGAAGAGAGAAAAAAGAGAAACGTAATTAGGGATATTGAAAAAACTAAAATGTAGTTCTCTCCGTATTGTGGATACTGCTGCCTTTTACCCCACTTTCCACACATTGATCAGTATTCCTTTCTCCTTCCCTAAAATAGTTTTACAGACACTATAGATACCCTTAGTTATTTGACACTTACGTTTCCGTTTTTTTAACATGTCAGCTTCGATAACTGTCACACTTAAATGTTTTCATAGGAATCATGAAAACTATAGTTTTTCCTTGAATGTAAGGATCTCACATCACGCTTTCATTCTGAACTCACCATTCCCTTTCTGCAGCTGATGTAATTGTGCCATGTGACCATTGTACACGTGTGGAAGGGAGGAGCTGAATTACACCTGACCCCTGGCCAGAGCAAGAACTACTGGCCAAGGGGGAGACGGAGCATCTGTGTTCTACTTCCAACGTCTCTGCACCTAGGAAGTGCAATAGACTTCTGATGAGTCTATGCTTACCCCACTGATGAATAAAGACAATCTCCCAACACAATTGCACTGCAGGAAAGATTGAACTTGTGACTACTTCTTCTGTGTAATTTTGAATTTCTTAGACCCGAACCCTGCTGAGTACATCTGCTTCCCTCTATTCCTTGCTGAATTTCATTCTTTTCAGGGCATTAATAGAGCCAAACCAAGCTGGTAGTGGTAACAGTTTGAATAATAATGGTCTTTACCTTTTATCTTTTTAAAAATAGAATTCTCAGGAGCACTTTTAGCTATAAGATTCCTTCATCCATTTAAATAAGCTTTCAACTTCATGGAAAGTGAAAAAGGGCACAGGTTGGTTTGTGGAAATAGGAGGAAGAAATCTTGAGCCCGAATACTTTGAAGTACTGGCAGCTTCTGGAAGTAGTTGAAGGAGACTTCAGTTAGAAGCTTGGTCTAATGGACAGAGTCCTGACCTGGACATTGGAGACCTGTAGCCACCCTCTGAATCCACAGCTGACCTTGTGGCCGTGATACATAATATTGATTGCAAGGCAGTTTTGTGATGGTTAAGATTGCACGTTTTCCTAACTAGATTTGTGGAATTTAAATCTCAACTCTGGCACATACTGAATTTCCCTGGGAAAAGTGATTAACCTCTTTGTGCCTCAGTTGCCTCATCTTTAAATGAAGATAATTTGATTGCATACCTCCCAGGTATTAAAGAATAAATAATTGGAAAATACAAATTATTGAGTATATGCTGGTAATTGTTTTCATTGTTACGCTATTATTATTTTTCTTATTTATGTATGACATCATGTCACCTACCTAACAACAGGGAATTGAGACAAAAGCAAAATATGATTTTCTATATTATTAATCATAATAAGTGCTTCCAATGTTTCCTAACTATAATTTTTTTAACCCTACACTTTATGGGGGTGATGAAAATGAGAAATATTATTATTTAAGACAGCGTTTGCTATAATTTTCATATATCGATATAAGTTTATATGTTCTCAGAAAATTGGTCTTTGGATAATTGAGGTCAGTGTGAGTTTTTATTCTGTTTCCGGAAGACAATGTCTGTGGCTGGCTGTGGGAAATGGGGAACAGACCATCTTCCCATGTTTCAGAGGGACCCGTATAAAAATGGGAAAAGATTTGTTTTAAATAGCTTTGGGATGTGAATTAATTGCGAAGTGTTTTAGCAGCAAACAAAATTGTTTGGGTAGTAAGAAGAGGTTTAAAGATGCTGTGTGGGAGAAAACGAAGTCCCTACCTATCTTTGTGAGCACGTCTCAGAGGACATGATGTGTTCCTGTAAGTTGATAACAATCTTACTGTGCCCTAGTGCAGACACTGCTTCCTACTTCCCCGTAGAAAACAGAACCGTTTTTAAAAATTGGTTTTCAACTAATATTTTTAATAGTCATGCTACTTGATGACAAAATCAGATATCGTGGCCTTTAGTACTACATAGTGAATGCTTTTTGAAAGTTGGGAAAACTCTAACCCCAATATACCGGGAACTGCTCTCTTCTTCATCTCGGATGTCTGCTTCTTCCTCAGACCTGTGTGTGTGTGAAGCTCTAGAATAGGCTGTTTGGGAAGAATACAACATCTCCTCTCCGAGGCCCCTTATAACCCTGATAGCTGCTAGATTTGAAATCAAGGATTTATTCTCCCCCTGCCTTGGGCCTCTCCCTTATGGCCTCATAGGCTCTAGCATTGGAAGGAATATTTTAAAAGCTCTTTCTTTTGACTTTGTGATACTCCAATATTAAAAATGACTTATGACAAGAAGAAGAAAAAATGCTATATTCTTCCCCTTAAGGTTAATGTTCTGGGGGACTATCATAAAAATCCAGGTCTCTTGACCAGGTGCGGTGGCTCATGCCTATAATCCCAGCACTTTGGGAGGCCGAGGCGGGCGGATCACAAGGTCAAGAGTTAGAGACCAGTCTGGCCAAAATGTTGAAACCCCGTCTCTATTAAAAATACAAAAATTAGCTGGCCGTGGTGGCACGTGCCTGTAATCCCAGCTACTCAGGAGGCTGAGGCAGGAGAATCGCTTGAACCTGGGAGGCGGAAGTTGCAGTGAGTCAAGGTCGTGCCATTGCACTCCAGCCTGGGTGACAAAGTGAGACTGTCTCAAAAAAAAAAAAAAAAAAGAAATCCAGATCTCCTAATCTGGAGAGTTACTCTTTGGATCTGAATGGGATTGGAGCCAGTAAAAGGGGTGGAGGGTGTTTCTGGAACATCCCTGCAGCCTTTTAAAGCAATTTAATCAATCAGTTAAATATCGTATTTAAAAAGTACATTTTATTATTTATTATGATTTTGATTAATGTATTGTCATCAAAGTTGTCAAAGTCAAGAAGTCATTATTGGGACCTGCGGGTAAGGCAGGAGCCAAGTGAGAATAAGCAGACAGCAAAGATTGTGGAAAAGCAGAACAGCCAGGTCCCCCAGGCATACATACAGAGACATTTTGCAATGGCGGCTCCCTGTGGCTGTCTGCCCCAGACTTCCACCTTGAGGTAATTGGGGTAACTATAACGATATCTTCATCCTGATCTCTTCATGCAGTTATATGTTTCCAAAAACAGATAAACTATGGACTTAGTACATGTGCCCCTTTTCCTTGGATTCTCACCATCTGGCTGGTAAACGTGACAGAAACGTTCAAGTAGGTTCAATGTGGTACATGGTAACAAATGCTGTAGTGCAGACTAGGGGAGCGTGTCTGGCAACGCGTTGGCAAAGAAATTCTATTGGCACATTCAGGATGAAATGAGAATGTGGGAAAATAGAACGTGATTCTCTCCCCAGTCCTCGAAAGACAAACCAAGTGTATGTACTGTTTATACTATGTTATTAGTGTATCTTTACCTATAAATGGCAGGTCATTTTCATTCAATATGCTCAAATACTCACATTAAAAGAGGTAGACACTTTGGGAGGCCAGGGTGGGAGGATCACTTGAACCTAAGAGTCCAAGACCAGCGTGGGGAACATGGCAAAATCCCATCTCTACAAAAAATACAAAAATTAGCTGGTGTGTGCCTGTGGTCCCAGCTACTTGGGAGGCTGAGTGAAAATACTGTTTGCTTTGAAGAAATGGAGGCTACAGTGAGCTGTGATCACACCACTGCACTCCAGCTCTCTGGCCTGGGCAAAGAGCCAGACCCTGTTTCAAAAAAAATTTTTTTAAAGATTTAGGGAGCATGTGGACATCTATTCATAGAGGGTTGAACGATAGAATTAGACAGCCATGTGTATGTCTGGAATGTCCACACGTGTAGGAAGGAGAAGGTGTGTTTTTTCCACACATGTAGGAAGGAGAAGGTAGGAACAATGAAAATATTCTTTTAGTGATCACAGTGGCTCCAAAAGAGATGCTATGGTATGTGTAATACTCGTCTATCTTATAAAGAAAGTAAGGAAATAATAAAAGCATTTGCTAACCATGTCTAGATGCTACAGTAAACATAAAAGTAAAGGGTCTGTTAATCTGTTAACTGACCTTAAGATATGAGGTGATAAAACAGCAGCCTTCAAATATGCAGATGGCTATAACAGAGATCATGATGAACAGATTTTTATTCTGGCTTAGAAAGACCAGATCCAGATATTAAAGGCATAACTTTACAAGCAAAGCAATCTTACTATAACACTCCTTTCAAGGTAGACTGTGAATATTTCCACCAAGAATATATATTTTTAAAAGTAGATTCATTTTCATTTGTCTTTTTAAGTTAAATATAATCTTGCTTGAATGAGGAGGAGTATAAGATACCTCAATAAGGACTTTGTAGATCACCGAATCAGCCAGCTTTGTATTCAGCTATCAAACAAAATAAAATGTGATCACTAGTGGTTCAAATACATTGGAATTCTACAACTAAAGATCTAAAAGAATAAAATCCATGGCTAGTACAGAAACATAATAATGCCATAAGCAAACGATGACAGTTTCCTGTTTCTTTTTTTGCCACCCCATTTGATAGGCTTTGGTCCTCATTCTTGGCATCTCCTATCTCATTTGGGATGCGATGCGTTCACACCTTCCATCCACATTCCAGCAAAAGAAAGGGAAGGCAAAGTGGTAATACATTTTTCCTAGTGAGGTTATACCTCTTTATTCAGGGATGGAAACCCTCCCCAGAAGCTTTTGTTGACACTTATTGGCCAGAAATGTAACATATGACCACCCGTTGCTGTCAGAGGTGGGGAGAAGTCCCTGAGAAAGAAATTATTCTTCTTTTCTAGCCTCTATTATAGCATTTAACAAGGAAGAATGGGATTATGAATAGCTTTGGAATGTTTATCATGTCTTCTCATTGCCATAGCTGATAGTCATTTTATGTGATTGAATCTATATCAGGCCTTTTTATCTGACAAGTTTCCCAATGTACAAAGATGAAAAAATTGTCAACTTGCCTCAGATGGGAATAAAGAATGTCAATTTGTCTGGCCAAGTGAGTTTGGAAAGCTAAGATTTAGCCTTGGGTGCATTATTGATGGGCAATAAAGAAGTCGGTGGCATTCATCCATTCATTCACTCATTCTACCTGTGCTATTGAACACCTGCAAAGCATAGAGCTAGATGCTAGGTAGAATATAGAAAAGAAAGTCACAGTCTCTTCCTTGAAAACATATTTGTTTTATTTATAGGACAAGACATCTATACATATACAGACTGTCAATTCGTAACATGTCATAGAAATACAAAAGCAGATATCAATGAAAGTGGAATGTTTAGAGAAATTTCCATGCAGTTGATAGAATTTAAATCCTATAATTTCAATAGGTGGTAGCTGTGTCTCAGGCATTCTAGGCAGTGCATAGCAAGAGAAAAGATGGTAATAAAGATAAAGACTGGAAAGAAGTAGGCAATTGGTCACATTTCTGCAAAGTAAGAGAGGAAATTTAGAAAATCGCATGTGTTAGCTTGTATACACACCTTAGCTTACAATGTTAGCTTGTAGCTAACTGAATACAGATGTGAGAGTTAAAATAAACTCTTCTAACAGTAGAACAATTATTATTAGAGTGGCAGGGATGATCTTACAGAAATAAATATTGGACAGCTAACAAAAATAGGGAAAGCCAGCCATATGGCTATCTGGGGGAGGAGCATTCCAGCTACTCAAATCCAAAGTGGTATGGTGAGATGTATTTTTTTTAAATTTTTATTTTAGAAACAGGGTCTCGCTGTGTTGCCCAGGCTGATTTCAAACTGCTGAGCTCCTGTGATCCTCCTGCCTCAGCCCCCTGAGTGTAGTCATGTGCCATCATGCCCAGCTAGGTTTTATAGAAACATAAGCACAGAGTAACACAGTAGCAAAAAAATAACGTCACCTAAATTAGGGTTTCGAAGACAATATAGGAGTTAGGTAGATAAAGAAGAGAGCAAAGGGCATAACATAAAGAAACAACGTATTAAAATGTCTGTGTTATGAACTTGCATACAAACTTAGTGCTTTAATTTGGCCAAGCACCTTTCATACCACTAGAAGGAATCAACAGTATTAGACAGAGTAAGAGGGCCTGAGAACTTGCATAAACACCCTTGGTACATGGAAAGTAAATATAAAATGGTGCCGATAATTCTGATTCCCTAGTTTATAGAAAAGATACATGATCAAGCTTAAAGTGAGAATGAGTGATAAAGAATTACGTAGGTTCTGTATAAGGAAAGGTAATTTCAGATTCCCAAAAGGATATACAGCTGAATGTTTTAGCCTTTCAGAGTTGGGGAATCCATTTCTTTCCATGGAAGAATTAGTCTTCAGGTGAATAGAGATGTATTGAAGGGAAATTAAGAGAGCATAACAAAACCCCACTTTACCCACTATCTATCCGTGGAAGCTGCAGCAAAACCATCTGAGAGCTATGGTACAATTAAGTTGAAGATACTTGCACAAATAAAGTATGTGTAATGTAACATACAGGATCAAACATTTGAAATTGATGATATTGGGTCATTGCTGACCAACAAAATAAATGATTTTATGTGAATCAGTCTAATGGAAGTAGTTTCAAAGGAGTGACTTCTTTGCAAATAAGATGGTTGAAATAGAACCCAAAACTAGCACATTGGGCAAAAAATTACGAAGAAACATGGAAGTGGCTGCATAGTAACCACAAAAATGAACACACTTATTTTCAGAGTTCAAACCACGGTAGATTTGAGCGTGTGTTTGGAAATGACTAACACTTACTGTTGTTTTACCCTGTCACCACGTTCCTGCGTTAGGCTCCTTATCTCTGACTGGTCATGCTCACATCATTGTCTGCCAGCCTTTCCAGTGCCTGCAGGCAACCACCTGCACCCAACGTCCTCCTTTTATGCTCTCGCCTCCTTTTGTGTACTGTGTGGTCCACCATTCTACCTAATCTGCCTCATACTCACAAAACTACTTGCTTCTTTTGAAAAAAATGCGTTATTAGATTTAAATATAGATTTTTAAAAAACATTTCCCTTCATTTTTTAAAGTTTTCACTTTATTTTTATACTATGTTTTAAGCTTCCCTAATATCCCACTGCTGAGTCCCGTAGACATGGAATCCACAGCATGGTGACTCCCTGACTTGGCCATGCCTACCAGAAGCAGAGCCACAATCTAATCCAGACCTTCCGTCAGCCACTCCCAGACCCCTTCTCTCCCCCAAGCAAATGAAGAACATATTTTTTGTGTAAAGAGATACAATTGGGAAATTCTTAAAAATCAAGTTTTACTTTAACTGAATAGCTTATTTGGTCCTGGGGCTGTAAAGTCAGCGGAATGATGGGGTCATTTTTTTTTTTTTTCTCAAAATGCAGCATCTTCCTACTCACTTCGTTTATTACTCTCTTCATTCTGAAAATCACATTTGTGAAAGGGAATGAAATCAGGTTTACTTTGGCATCACCCAAAGGACCTTAGTAAAGAAAACTAATACTAATTTTATTTTCTGTTGTGAGCATCTTAATACAGAACTATAAGAATAATTACTATTTTTTGATGCCAAATGAAGCATGTAGGTGTTACCAGCTTCTTCTTTGAATTAACTTCTTTACTTATCTCAGGAGTTTTCACAGTGATATAGACATTTTGTGAAATAGGTCACGAGTGACACGCACTCCCAGAATAGCTTGGCTAGGGCCTACTTTACAGACTTGAATATAAATGTTTCTGTTTCTTATTTCCCTCAGCCTTTTTAAAGAACGGCACTGGAAGCCAAAAGTCTCCATGACAAAATATTTATAATTATTAATCATTGTTATATGATCTTATTAGATATGAAAACTATATTCAGCATCCCAAATATAAAACCTGATTAGTTCTGAGTTTAAAGGTTAGTGATAAAACAAGACACCATTGAAGAAATACATAGAAAAAGGAAGACAAAATAGCTTTGGACACATTAAGAACTTACATAAAATTTAAAAAAAAAATTAAATCATCGAATAGATTTAATATATAATATACCCCAGAAATATTTACATTATATTTTCAAAGTCTAGAGCTTTTCTTCCATAGACTCCAAAACTATTTGTATATATTATCATCCAAGCACAATTTTGAGAGAAGTTGTAATGGCAGTACAATTAACAAAAAAAGTACCCACTTTTCCTTACAAGTCTTTATCTCATTCGTACTCTCTCCTGCTCTTTCCTGCTTCACAAGCTTCTTAAAAGACTTTTTTTCTAGTCTCTCAGTCGGCACTCTCACTTTCCACTTTCCCATTTATTGCTTTCTGGCTTGTTCTCACAGCACACCACCAAAACAACTTGCATGCATACACCAGTATCACCTCCCTTACCCCACCCCCCGTTTCCAGTAAATTAAACCCAATGGACCAAGCTGGAGGATTTCTTTTACTTCACCTTTTAGAGGCACTTGACATTATTGACAACTTCCTTCTTTTCAAAACTCTATCCTCCCCTAATTTTCATAAAACATGAAACTACCTTCTAGTTCTCTTATTTATCTCAGCCCTCTGGCTCCTCTTTCTCCATTGCTTTATTAGATGTTGGTGTTGGTATGTATTCCATTTTAGAACTTTGTCCCCTCTACTCTGATGCGATCATTTTACGTGAGATCACCTACTCCCCATACTTAATTTGTCTTTTATAAATTTGTGACTTCTCCATCTATATCTCCAGCTCTGCTGTCTTCTTTGTATTAAAGACACATTTCTCCAACTATGTACTAGACACTTCCAACTAGTATCCCACTTGCATCTCAAATTCAACATTATTGAACTCAAAATCTTCTTTCATTTACTTGCCTTGCTTTCATATTCCTTGTATTGGTGAATTATATCAGCTTCCATACACTTGCCCAAGCCAATACAACCTAGGACGCATTCTGAATTCCTCCTTTTCACGTAACTCAGCATTCAGTCGCAAAGAACATACTGGGAGGTCTGTATCCTTCAGCTCTTAAAATAGTCACCTGTGCTTCCATTGCCACAGCTTTGATTTGGGCCACTGGCATTTCTGCAGTAGTATCTGAGATTGTTATCATCTACACCGCTGCATTTTTCTTGCTGCTGAGAACGTTATTAAAAATTATTCTGTATGTATTTAATTATTTAGCTATTCATGCCTTTCCATATGACTTACAATTCAATTGGGTCTTGCTGTTTTCCTGTAATCTAAAATTACATCCTGATTGACCAAAGTGAAGCATAGTTAACTGCATTCTCTTTGATAGTGCTGCAATTAAGACCAATGAAACGTGAAGAGGTTTTAGGGAAGCTTTTTCCTCAGTCTTAAAAAGAGGGAAAAGGAAACAAGATCCCTCTCCCATCTATGGTTCATATTTGATGAGAATACAGCACCTGATCCTTTTGAGACAAGTAGGGCAGTGGGGCCCATACCCTGTGGATGTCAGAGCAAAAATCTGGAAGGAATCTGGGTCCCGATACTGTCATGAAACCATTTAACTAATACTCTTTTGTAAGATAATAAATTCCTTAATGTTTACTCTGTTCAAACTTCTCTTTTTCTGTTAGTTGTAGCTGAAGCCATGTTAACAACATGTTGTTTTTTCGTCTTTTTTTTTTTTTTTTTTTTTGAGATGCAGTGTTGCTCTGTCACCCAGGCTGGAGTGCAGTGGCACCATCTGGGCTCACTGAAACCTCCACCTCCTGCGTTCAAGTGATTCTCCTGTCTCAGTCTCCCTAGTAGCTGGGATTACAGGCACACGCCACCACGCCTGGCTAATTTTTTTTGTATTTTTAGTAGAGACGGGGTTTCACCATGGAGGCCAGGCTAGTCTCGAACTCCTGATCTCAGGTGATCCACCCACCTTGGCCTCCCAAAGTGCTGGGTTTACAAGTGTGAGCCATTGGACCCGGCCCCATTTGAACTGTATTCTAAAAGCATTTTACAGCCTCATCTCCAATCTTGCATTCCTAAACTCCACTCTGCATTCCACAAATGGGATTAATCACCTACTGAAAGCTCTATAATAATTCCTGTCACCTGAGGATAATGTTAAAACTTTCCAGTTTGTGAGAGAGGGCCTTCATTCATCTCGTTTCTTCTCCAGAATGATTTCTGGCACCCCTCTACCTCACCTCTTGCTTTTCAGCCAGGAAGAACAACTTTTACTTTCTGAAATGTACTAGTTTCTCAATGTTGGGTCACATTGTTCTTTTTTTCTAAAAGACTCATCATCTTCCTTTCCTACCTAATTTCACACACATGTCTTTCTTAACTTAGGCATTGCTTATCTTGGGGGAGTCTTCCATTGTTGCCCTAAGAATAGGGTAGGCACTCTTCCTCCCTGCTTCCATAGAAAGTAGGAAACTGTAGCACTCAGTACATTGTCATGTGGCTATAGTATAATCAAAGTAATTAACTTTGAACAATACTGTGTGGATTCAAATTTTTCTCAGCTATTCACAAGCCGAATGATCTCAAGTTATTTATTGTGCCTTATTGTGCTTTCTTTGTCTCTAAAATAGAAATAATAATTACACATATCTCATATGTTACAATGATTGAGGAAGCTAATGTATACCTACATATATATAACCTGGTATAATGCTTGATACCTAATAAGTGCTGTGTTCATGCCCAGTCAGATAATGGGAATTTGAACATATTTATTGAATAAATGAAGAGGAAAGTGTTAAAAACATTGTTTTGGTTATTTTCATTACAGAGGCATAACCCCACCCTCAGTTTAGCATTCAGAAAAATGGAAAAGCCCATTTTAACTGCTACTTCAGTGATACTATGGAAAACAATCTTTTAGAAAAATAAAGAAGTTGTGATGAATGACCAAAGAATAATATACTCTCAGAGTGAAACAATTTCCCAAGAAATGCAGGAGAATAAACCTTTTGGTTTCTGCCTTTTTTTTTCTTAACTTTGCTTGTATGTTTTATAAAGTCAACCCAAATTTAAGAAATTGAAATTGTGAGGTGTTAATAATGTACTTTTCTCCCCAAATTGTTTTAATTTAATGAATTTTGCCATATGGATGAATTATATATGCATCTGGAGGCTAAAACCCATAAAAACAAGCTTCTTAATTTATTAGATTTTGTTGTTCATTTTGTATACCATAAAGCAGCAATCAAAGAGTTTTCCAAACAAATTATTTTATGTATTTTGACTAAATCCAGGTTTATTTTCTTAAAATGAAGACCTTTGTTGTACTTGTGTTTGTTCTTCATATGTAGTAGAATGACACAGCCTCTTTGGCTTAGAGGTCGTGTCTCTTTTTTAAGACACTTAGAGTGTCCTCTCATGCTCATCACCTCAGTTAGATAAGGAATGCTGTCCATCCACAAAGAGTCATGAGATTGTGTCCAATGAAGGCATTTAATGATAAATTCACAACTAGTGAATGAGAACTTTATAGAGCAGTTTCAAGTATTAAGTAGATAGGTAGGTAAGCTTTGTTATGTTTTTCAACTGTGAAATTTTATAATTTCTTAAACATGTCAGGATGGATAACATTGCCTTTTTAGTAATGGTAGCCTTCAATATCTGCATTATGCCTGTATAGTAATAATGTAACATATATGCCATATAATAACGTATAATTATAACATAATATCTGGGACCATGATTGCAGACATTTATAAGATGTGTTATGAAAATGTCCTAATCACAAAAACATTCAATTTAAAAATGAAAGGAAGTGAATCTATGCTATGCTTTGCTTCATCTTTCTTTGAACTAGTTACAAACCTTTAAAAAATAAGCTTTTAATTTGGGAATAATTTTAGATTTACAGAAAAGTTGCAAAGACAATAAGGAAAGTTCCCATTTACTCTTCACTCGGCTTCCTCAAATATTAACATTTGCCAAGGGTACATTTGTTAAAACTAAGAAGTAACCATTGGTGCAATGCTATTAACTAAATTACAGCCTTTATTTAAATTCTGCTCATTTTTCCAGCATTGTTCTTTTCCTGCTAGAGCATCCAATCTAAGATTTATTTATTTATTATGTATCTTCAGTCCCCTAGGATTTGTGACAGTTCTCTGTCTTTTTTCTTTTGGAGACTGCTCATTGCCTCTGTTAGTTTCATGATCCTCTGAGATGTTATTGACAGCAAAATACAATGCAAATTTATCCTAACTAAAAAGCTTATTTGATCCAAAGACCTGATTTTAAGAATTTGAAAGAAAAAAAATTACCATATTTTCTCAGTTCTAAACATATTACTAAAATGGTAATTGTATTCTTTCAACATGGAATTAATGTCGAGAAGCAAACATCTAAATTTTAAAAAACATATAGTTTTGTTGAAGGAGGTAATAGACAATAAAAGTGTTATTTATTATTTAAAAAATTTCAAATTTTCTCAGTAACGGTAGTTTATCTTTAATTCATTACTAATATTTAGCTTTTATTCTTTTTTAAAGCATGTGCCAATGATAGTATCTCATTAATAATAAGAACTCATCTAATTTTAGC